AGAGTCTCACATGATAATATTGTCTGACAATCCTACTTTGACTTTCCCTTTCTTTCAATTCTGGATCTAATAGAGTTTATTCTTTCACTCCCCACAGACTCTTAGTAGTTATGCACAATGTGAAGTCACTAGATTTGGGGGCTGGTTTATTATGTTTCTTTCTCTGTCTCAGGCCACATGGTGCTTTGTTAACCTAGCGGAGAGCAAAATACTTTTTTAGTATTAGAAATATTGTACATTGACTCTTTAGACAGCTGCACCTACCAGGAGATTTGCATGCTGTCCCCTAGGGAGGACCTTCCCCTGTATGTCTGAGACAAAGCTCGGCTCTAAACTTCCCTGGACTGACCAGGACTCCTCAGTCCAACTTCTCAAAATGAGGCTCCCTGCTCAGCTCCTGGGGCTGCTGGTGCTCTGGGTCCCTGGTAAGGACAGAAGGAGATGAGGAAGGAGGATGGTTGGGGAGACCTCTACGGCCCCACTGCCTCCCATGTGTGCTCTGTTCATGTGTTAGATGTGCACCTTTTATCCTTGAGGGTGGGACATGTGAGTTTAGATCTGAGAGAGTGAGGACAGTTCCAAAGGAGGAATGACCTGTGCTTGGTGAAGACTCTGACACAGAGACAGGGGCATGGTATAGGAGAATTCTAGCAGCCTTTGTGTGCTTTGTAAACCTTAGTTCCTTTTGAAATGGGAGATTTCTGGTGTGTGAATCAAAATCACACATATGAAAAATGATTTAGCCTGAAATAAATAATAAAATAAAAATTATGTAAATTGCTTTTAAGTTTTGTACATAACCTTGCACTTCTCTCTCATTATTTCAGGATCCAGTGAGGATACTGTGATGCCCCAGACCCCACTCTCCCTGCCCGTCACCCCTGGAGAGCCGCCTCCGTCTCCTGCAGCGCTGGTCAGAGCCTCCTGCATAGCGATGGAAACACCTGTGTGAATTGAGACCTGCAGAAGCCAGGCTGGTCTCTATGGCTCTTGATCTGTTTGTTTTCCTTTCAGTTTCCTGGGTTCCTAGAGTGGTTGTGTGGCACCAGGTCAGGACAGATTTCATGCTCAAAATCAGAAGTATGGAGGCTGAAATGTTGGAGTTTATTACTGGCAGCAAGATCTGTAGTTTCCTAATAAAATGACACAGCCTGGAACACAAATCTCCTTTGATCAATAGTCCCAGCTGCCCTAATTTTTTCCTTCACTAGGGAGAACACAGAGTATATTCTCTGAATCTTCACAAGTGGAATATGTTGGAGACCTCAGGAGACTAGGTTGCAGCTGGACCTGCACCTTGGCTGCACCTCAGGCACCACGCTTCAGACCCCATCTGCTGTGACAGCCTCAGAACAGCAGACCCTGCAGCAGGACGGAGTGGGCCCAAGTGCCCTCTGAGCAAGCAGAGATGGGGAGGGGAGAGCTGACTGGATCCTCTGACTTTAAAGCTCAATCCTCTCCCCTTTAGATACACTTGTCAGTTACATTTCCTCAGCAGAGCAGCCACACAATTGAGGCCAATTTATGACAATTCAATGGTGTTACATTTTTTGGTATTGTTTAGGCTTAGCAGTTGCGAGTCAATATTCAGCATGATA